TGATTGTGCAAGCAACCATAATAATTAGGCCCAGACTCTAGATCTGGGGTGTCAAACTCCCGCCCTGTGGGCTGGTTTCATCATACTGAAGCCGCGCCCACCCTATTGCCAGCAATGGCAAAACCGGCCCAATACGTTGCGCGATGTCACGTGATGTCGCGAGTTTGACATGTCTGCTCTAGATGGTTCAGCACTCCTCCAGATGAGTTGGTATGCAATTTAATGGGTCCTCCTACACTCGTAGGTGGCAGCCATGGATAGGAAGCCTTTTTGCATAGATCTATCTGGTGTGCCAATTGGGCCCCTTTCCTTGACTGGGAAGCCTTGCTCACAGTCACTCATGCCTTGGTCACCTACCATCTGAATAACTGCAATGCACTCTACATGGGGCTGCCCTTGAAGACCACCTGAAAACTATAACCCAGTGGTGGCGAACCTATGGCACGCGTGCCAGAGGCGGCACTCAGAGCCCTCTCTGTGGGCACACGCACCATGCCCTGGAGATGGCAACCGTCCCTCTTCAACCAGCTGACTGCTAACTCGCCGAGCTCCCATGTGGCTGGATGCATCCCAGCATGGCTGATTTCCCTCCTTTCCCCCCTCCATCCCATCCCTCCTGGCCTTGCATGCTCTCCTTTTCCCGGGCACGACCCATTGCATCACCTCCTCAGCTGTTGGCCGGCCATCCAGCTCAGAGGCGGCTTCTCTGAACTGCTGGCGGTGGGCTGCGGAGCCCCAGAGTGCGCCAGTTGAGGGGCCGGCAGGCTGTGGCTGCTGACGGACATTGTCGGCCCCCATGTGCTCGTTGGCTTCTGTGTGCGTGGGCCAATGGTGTCAGGCAGCAACCGCCCCAGCCTGTGCCTCGCCTTGCCCTGCAACAATGGGACCCCCACCCTACCTTGCCTAGCCTCACCCCACAGGACGAGCCTCCTGCCCACCATCCCACCTGCCAGAGACCCCCTGGATCTCCCCCAACCCTGCCCGGCCCCCACAGGGGTCCTTCCCCACGAGCAACATTGAGGTGATCATGCCCAGCTTGGCCACACCCACCCAGTCTGCCATGACCATAGCCATGCCCACCCAGTGGGCCACGCCCACCTGGCACCCGATGATAAATAAGTGGGTTTTGGGTTGCAGTTTGGGCACTCGGGCTCTAAAAGGTTCGCCATCACTCCTATAACCAGTCCAGAATATGGTGGTGTATATAGTGATGTGTGTTCCTAGGTTTATACATGTAACACTGCCGTTGCGTGAGCTGCACTGGCTGCCAGTTTCCTTCCAGGTGCATTTGAAGATGCTGGTTCAAGATGACCTTTAAAGGACCAGGTTATCTGTGGGACCACCTTTCCCTAAGGACTTGTCTTACCAGGCTACATAGAGTGGGCATGGTCCAAATGCCTTCCTTTAAACATTGCCACCTTATGGGAGCTACCGCAGGAAGCATGCCTTTTCCACCACAGCTCCTGCACTAAAGTTCAGTAGGCCTCTACCTTCTTAGCCTTCCAAAAAGCACTGGAAACTTGGCTTTTTCCCAAGCGCTGGGATAGGAAGAGGTGAACTGCATGTTGAAAACATAACTTGGTGCAGGTTTTTGGTTTTTTTATGTTTATTATTTTATTGCCAATATCATTTTAATTCTTGATTAGACACTATATAAAAATGTTTAAATAAATAAAATAAATAATATGAGGTTTCATTAAATGTTCTCCATTATAGAATCAGGAAAATAATTATCTTGAGTTTTCAGATTAAAGTATCTTTTATCATCAGAAGTAGAATAATTCCAGTGAGCCCTGCAAAGAAACTATTCCACCTGCGTTGAATCAGTATTTAATAGTGTTCCCAACTCCCATCAAAGAAATACTGATAGCTAACTCTTCCTATTATTCCTTTAGCAAGGGACTAAAGTGGTAATCCAGAACATCTGGAGTACACAATTGATTTTTCAGAAGATGAAACAAAACAGAGTAATCCAAATCAACTGGGAGAAACTAGCAAAGACTGCCAAATCCAGTAAATAATTAGGCAGGTAAAATTTTCAGAATTGTTTTTACTTTTAACATACAAGTACTTTATGTTCAACTTATTTATTGTAGTATCTATCTTTCCAAAAATATTTATGTGCATGTATTCTGAATAAATCATCATGCTGAAACTATCACTGGTATTTTAGAAAGATTTCAAAGATTTCCTCTATCTGTTCTTTTCTATTTCTGAAGTACAGAAAATGTGAGAGCAAAAAAGCATGCAACTTCTAGTAAGAAAACAGCAGAGGGTCCTGAAAGAATTGTATGTTTCCTATGAGAGTCCTTATTTTCCTTGCAAATTACAATGCCAGGCCACTTTGTTCACAAAGGAAAACAATGAATGGATCTAAAAGAGGTAAGGTTGTTAAAACTGGAAAATTTATGAGCTACTGCACTGATTTCCTCATATGCTTTCAGAGCATCACTGCCAACTCAACTACAGCAGGAGTGCAAAATCTGTCCACGGAACAAAAAACTGCCACATGAAAGAAAAGTGAGTCATCATTAGGACATTTATTACGACTTCTTCTGCTCAAGGTAAAAATTGTCTTTTGTTGGAAATGAACACAATGCACCATTCACAGTCTTGACACAAGATGACTTCAACTGCATTTAAAATTGGAAAAAATCTGGCTTGAACTGATTCCTCCTGTGAATACTTATGCTGCTTCATCATTCCTACTTGGCTCCTCCTCAAATGGGTGTGGCTAAACAAAACAGGAACTCCAACTAGGATGATTTAGCATTATGTTTGTTTAGCATTGATTGGGTCCTTTCTTCTAGCAAGTGAAAGAAATTAGTTAGAAAAATCCTGGATTATGCTTATGGATTTTAAGAGAGAAGACGACAATTCTCTATTCTCATGTACTCATGTACAGATAGGACTTTCTGATTTGTTTACCTGCTTCTACTGGCAGCAGGAACCAAATACCAACAAACTTTCCAGATTACTTACATTTAATGTTAAGTGGAAATTGGTGCAGTATCTTGTAAACACAACCTGCATAATTTGTCATATGTAGTGTAACAGGTCTCTGTCATTTTGCACACCGGTCTTTCTCTTCCCTACTGAGCCAAACCAAATTTGTCTCAGCTAATTTATCTCTTTTCTGGGAGGAATACACTGTATAAATAACATTATTAATACTGATCTATAACTGTAGACATGGCCAAAGATCCTGCCAAAAAGGTGGTTATCACAATGTATGAACAATGACACATGACATCATTGTAAAGCAAAAGTAAAGGCTAAGGGTTAACTATTTGGCAGTTCAGGTAAAAATTAAATTAAAATTAAATTAAACTAAAATGAACCTAAAGTATATCAAGGAAGAAGAGGTGTCAGCTAATTCTTAATATATGCTAGGGAGGGCAGAAAGGCTGCCAGGGATCTATTTCCATTTTGTTGCTGATGTCAAAAAGTGACATCATTTTTACCTCCAAGTGCAAAAATACCTAGAGAATCAGAACAGAATATATAACTAATTTTTTGACAACAAAACCTTAACCTTGGATTTTCGTGACATCTGAAACTCACAAGATGTGATCCCTTGACATGTAGACAGTTGGAATTCCCAATCCATGTTAACTTTTCTAGAGCCACATTCAAAATCAGAACCTGCCATGAATTATCACATCTTTCTTCAACAATAAATAAATAAATAAACCAGATCCACCCATACAGATCACTTCAAGATCTCAACTGTACTTCTTGTCAACATAGACCTCATAGATGATGACAGTTTTGTGACACTTCCCATATGCACTATTAAAAACAAATCTTGGCATGAATATACATTGCTATATCTGCAAATAGCATAATGTTACACAAAAACTAATGACAAATATTAAAAGAGTTTTTTTTTTCTAAAAAAGGGAATAGAGTAGTTCTGGATTTCAAGAATGACAATTCTATAGCTTCAAGTTTGGAGTGTCACTGTGTTCCACTTCAATATCTTATATTGCAACCACACAACTAGTGTTCATAAAATATAAATTAAAGTAAGTTAAATCACTAGCCATTGAAATACACAAACATACAGTATTGGAATGACTAAGATAGTTGAAGAATTAATATTTTCCTCACAGTGGTATGAAGAAATTGATATAGATTTATATTGATGTAAAGCACAAACAAGAACAACAATGGTTCTGAAATTTCAAATTACAAAGTATAAAGCAAGTAGTCAAATCCCAATGCTTCTGATTTTGATGCAGCAATTGAGCTAATTGCATTTAATCTGCTGCTGGCTATAGTAAACATGCACAGATCAAAATTGTTTTTCATATTTCCACAAGTGATGAGTATAATGCCAAGAGCTGTCTTTGGAGTCGTATATATCCTTTTCCTTTTACCTTAATTCTTCCTGAATCACATCCCTCCAGATGCAGTTGGAATGCAATTACCAGAATTCCTAGCCTTCCCAAAGGCTTCTGGAAATTCTGGGAACTATAGTCCTGATATATCAAGAGGGCAGCAGATAGAGAAAACTAAAACAGTTTTGCCTTATTACTGAATTCTAGCAAATATCATTGTAGCCATAGCAACTGAATGCAGCATAAAAAGATCCCCAATATTTTTGGTCCAGATCTTACTGATAATCTTCATATAAAGACAGAATAAAAACCTTCTACCCACATTCAAGAAAGTCAGGATGTGATGTTAATCTGACAAATATAGCCTAATATTAAGGATGCAGTATGACTTATTTTAATTTCTCTCCATCCAATCTCATGTCTGACTAGCAAATGAAACTATGTCAACAAAAATAGGACACAAGCATTCACTGTTAAAGTGCAGAACACCAAAACTAGACAAGGATTTCTCAGTTTCTATGGAATATTATAACCTCATTACATCACATTCTCATTTGTTCCCCTAAAAGTGCAAAAAGGAAAAAAAAGGGGGGAATATTGTCCATAAGAAAACCACGAGCCTAAAAGGTTTCAAAATCCTTCTAATATTTTATAATTAAAAATCTAAAATCCTTCATAAAGAGAAGACTCCAGGATTAAGCAGATCCAAACTCTGACATCCACTGGTCGTACTTCTCCAGATCTGCGGCTGAAACTGATTTGGAGATTTTCTTCAGAGCCAAGTCAAAGTCCCCCTTCGTGACAGGCATCTGAAGCTCTTCTTTGGAGAGGGCTCGGATCTCTTCCGGTGACAAGCCATTAATGCGTCGCCTCATTGCCATCAATGAGGCATCCCTAAAAATAAAACACATAAATACTACATATTAGCAATGATGCATAACAGTAAGGCTGAAATACCATTTTACTTATTTGTAACAGGGGTTTTTTTTTGCATTGCCAACAATAATTCTATTACATTTCATTTCCTATATTTAAAAACAACAGCATAAAAATTTGCATTGGTTTACACATTTTCTTTAAAGCATAAATTCTTGTATAACATCCCTTGAAATTTTCTACTTATCTTCCAAGCCCAAAAGAGGTCTGCAAAATCTGGATAAGTATACAGCCTGAAAGCTAAGGGCACAGCAGGTGGAGGGTTAGACTCTAGGGTCTAAATTAGAATTTATGAGTTGAAGTTCACATATCTTGAAGCTGCTAAACTTAAGAAACACTGATCTAAATAGTCTCTTCCCCTATGACTTTATAATCCTTCACAGACAAGGTTGCCTTTACTCATCTTCAGCAACTAAAGATGATACAATAATAAGGATGAAAATCCACCAATAATTCTAGCAAATGGGCAGATGTAAAAAAAGCTATAAAGCAATTGTTTTGTTACAATATATAGAGGCATTCAAGCAATTATTTCGATTAAGAATTAAAAGGCAGTTTAAATTCATCACTGGACTTATTCTGCATTACACTATGCAAAAAAGATCACAATCTGGTTGAAAAACCAATTCAGTACATATATACATAGCTGGGTACAGATAGATGAAATATGATTTAAATATTAAATATTTAAATATTAAAAGAAACCTTTTGCACCTCCTTCTGGGCACCATATCTTTCTCAGCTTTACATCATAAAGCTGTTGCTAATACTGTATGTGAAAGAAAAAGGTCAAAGATGATGCAAAATGGAGAAGGTAACTTACCAAAAGAACAAAACAGCCCAAAGATCAGCTTTATATATAAGCTGATCCATCAGATTACACTCCTTCAAACAGCTTTAGGCCTATTATGCCACTCTAAAAGGCTTCTTTCTACTGCCACAAACACTGCCACTTGCCTATGGCAATTTTTCTTCTATATAAAATTAAGCTGTACTACCAACCTTAGCAACTTTGAGATGCGTGGACTTCCAACTGAATGCAAGCTGGATGAAGAATTCTGGGAACTGAAATCCACACATTTTAACATTGCTAAAGTTGAGAAACACTTCTATAGACAGAATTAAAGTTCAGCCAGGCAATCTTGCCAGCACTAGAGACTTAGTAGACCCGTTCCTCAAATATATACAAGCCAAATTGCAATGTTGGCACATCAAATATTGTGGCTGCTGTGACCTCTGCCTACTCACAAAATGATGTGAGGACAATGGGGATGACAAATCATAAGCCATATTGAAGAGATTTGCTCTCCATCTTCTCCTCTGGCCCTTTCACCTAGATCAGTGGTTCTCAACCTGTGGGTCGGGACCCCATTTGGGGTCGATCGACCATTTCTTGGGGGTCACCAAGCAAGGGTGTCCGCCATTTTTTTTGTCCGCCATTTTTTCCCCCTTTTCCGGCGGGTGCCTTACCTCCCTTGGGCTGGGCCAGCTGGTGGTCGGCCTGCTCCGTCTCTGCCGCTTGCCAGCTACGCCTCGGCCGGCGCAGGGGGCGGAACCACGCATGCGCAGCGCTCCCGGGCAGGGAAAGTCCTCGACTTACGACCGGTTGAGTAGTCCTCGACTTACGACTGGTTTAGTCCTCGACTTACGACCGGTTTAGTCCTCAAATTACGACCGGTTTAGTCCTCGACTTACGACCGATTGGGGTCGCGGCATTAAAAAGGTTGAGAACCACTGACCTAGATGTTCAATATAACTCCATTTTAACTTTTTTTTTCTGTCCATGTGGGAACATTTCCAAACAAGTACAGGTAGTCCTTGACTTACAAATGCAACAAAGCTTTGTCAATTACAAGGTTTTTCACTGCTTCCTTCCTTAGGACTAGAAGGACTAGAACTCCTGGTCTCCTAGTGGCTAGCCTGATGCCTTAACCATTACACTACACTACACTAAAGTAGCTCTCAACAAAATGTTAGGCAGTCTAAATATATTCTTGGAAATAAAAATGACAGCTAGAATTTGGCGCTTCACAATATGGTTATTTTATGTTTTTCATTAAAAGAATCTGAAGGAAAAGTAGAAGGAGCAGGAAAATTTCTCCAGGGATAGCTTCTCGTCCCATATATTCTAAATGGATGGGCGTGTTTCAGGTGCTACTGTCCAATGGGACCTAGAAAGCATAACTCTTCCCTGAAGTATCTGGAATGATCTCTCCTGACCCTGCTGGCCTTTAAAACATTAAAAACATGCCTCTTTCTTCCAGTGTTGAGGCCAGGCTGACTGGAGTTTCTACCTGGAGGAGTATAATGTATATTGTGGATTCCCAACTGTTTTGATTTTAACTGCAATTTGTACTTGTTTGATATCTGCTGCCCAATTCTATTTTTTTGTTCACTGTACATTGCCCCAAATCACAGTTGTTGAAATGGGCAGCCATATAAATCTCATAAATAAATAAGTCTACATGGCCTCCAAAAACAGTACCCAGAAGTATCATAACAATAAAGTGGAATTCTAAGGACCAAGTTGAAAGCTCCTAACCCAAAGACGTCTTCCCGTGGAAAAAAAAAGCACTGGCTTAGCTATATGGTGTCAAACTGGGGCACTGCTCCATTATAAAACACTCTCCCAAGAAAACTACACTGTCAGCTTAGCTATAGGACATTCAGAAGGTCAATCAGTGCTAAGTGTGTGTGTGTGGGGGGGGAAATTCTGGTAAGGAACAGAGCTCTGAGAAATTCTCTAAAAAGAAACCATGTTCATGGAAAACTGCCTCTTTATTCTTTCAAGCCCTCATTGTTTTTGTAGTCTTGGTTTATTGTCTCATAGTTACATCCTAATTATCTCACTGACCTCACTAAACACATGATATGATATATCCAATGAGATGCCCAACTACTATATCCAATCACAGGTTTATTCTAATTTGCTTAAGTCTATAAAGTGGGACTATAATGCCTCCTCTGTTTAGGCTGGGTTTTTTGTTTTTTCCCTTCCATATTGTCAATAATCGAATTTGTGTTTGAATGTAGTGCATCCTGGTCTCCAGTTTAAATGAAGCTACTTGAGGGAAAATATTTTTTACTGCATTGGGAACAAGCAGACATCATATTACTCAGCTAGTACTTAAGCATAGTAGAAGTACAATTAAAATAAATGGAAGAAATATATAGATGACTGAATATCTGTAGCAGAAAATTACACTTTTCCACTAGGTGCATGATATTAAGAAATTTTCTCTTGGAACAAATGGTGGAAGTAGACTAAAACTAATGATTTCAATGGGAATGATCTTTTTTCTAATCTTGCTCAGTATTTTACTTATCACTCATGTATGAACTCTGACAAAAATATGCCAAATCTTCATTTCCTAGTTCTAAAACATACCACTTGACAAAATGTCAATCTCAACAATTTCAATGACTTTCAGAAGCCATTTTATAATTAATAATATAAAAATAAATTCCTGTTACCAAGATCAAACCATTTGGCTTTAGTCATAAAACATTGTTAATCTGATTATTCTTTCATTTTCAACCTTGCAAAGTAGTATGAATAGTAAAAACTGAGAGTTAACCTGTTACTCTTCCACCAGTTTTTACAAATATTGAATTTTACAGAATTCTGAATTTTACAGAATTCAACATTTCACTAAATAAAGTAGAATCTGCAGATATATTAAATATATATTATTTTTAATTGAATCCAACCAATGTTGGTGAGTTTTGTGTTTCCTCAAAAATATCTTAGAGAGCCCTCAGTTAGAAGAGAAATACAGAGAAATATGAATATACTTCACTAACTCTTCATAATAAGCAAGAATAACACACTTGATAATCTTGTTCAATTTCCTTTGTGTAGAAAGTGAATATCCTAAGAGAATCCCAGATTTTCTGTATATCAAGCCTCTGTGGGCTCAACATTAACGGGAGGGGGGAGGGGGCAACAGCGTCTGGGGCGGCAGAGGAGACCAGCGACCTGCGCAGACAGACTTCCCCTCTCCTTGTACCTGGCCTGTCAACGGGCAGAGCGTGGCAGTGTGGTTGTCGGCTCCGCGACATCCCGCCAAACAGCTGACCGGCTCCGCGGCCAGGCCGCCAAACAGCTGTTCGATGCGGGGAAGCCTGCAGTGCGTCCTGCCTAGCTGTTCTTATCACCTTGCATACCGGATTCTGGTTAGGTGGGTGGGGGGTGGGGCCCGGCTGGGGAATGTGTATGTAAGCGATTGCTCCCAGCGCTGACTTTGTTTGTTGTTTATGTAACTAAACGCATGTCAGAAGTTCCTTGATTAAATCCAGCCACCTGTGAACTCATCAACCCGTGTCCTCTTGGAACCAGGGGCGTAGTAAGGATTTCTGACACTGTACCACTTTTATATTATATAAAAAACCATACTTGTTCCTGTGCAAAAACTGAGAGGGCAGGAATTACTAGAAAAGTATGAAAAATGTAAATTCTGAAAGTTTAGCAATGTTCTTGGAAAAGGCTGTTGTGTATTCTGATTGGTCTAGACAGGGAAAAAAAGGATACCTGCAGACATTAGTGATATCAGCACCAGAGTAGCCTTCAATCTTCTCAGCAATTTCTTCCAGACTAATGTCAGGATCCAGTTCAACTTCCCGGAGATTAATCTTAAGCAGCTCCACTCTGCCTTTTGCTGTAAAAATAAATGTTATCTGATTAGAGGAAACTGACAAGTTAATATTTCTACCACATCTAAAGTTATAATTTGGTTTTCTCTTGATTAAAGGAATTCTGAAAGCAATTTTGTTAATGGCTCTAGAATTCTCTTCCCTAAATTGGTGCTCTTGAGATACAGGGTTGCTACAGAGGCCACAATGGTTGCATGCTCTAAGAGTCAGTCCCAAATCCAAAGTGAGGAGATTGGACAGGAGGTTCTAACTCTCTGAAAACTGTGAGGCATGTTTAACCATTTTTTCCAGAAAGAAATAATGGTAGCTTTGTGGATTTACCTAGTCATCTAAAAACAGGTACGTTCTTGTTTTCCTTAAAACGTATTAACAATTAACCTTACAGCGGAGTATATGCAGAAATAAAAGATAGATAACCTTCTTTCATTAGGTTATCTAGGAAGCTAGAAAACTGTTCTGTCTGTATTGCAAATAATTAATACATTTAAACAAGTTGAAGTAAAAATCATCTTCTGTGTTACTATGTGGTAATAGTTTCGGGGGGATCAGCTCTTCCATCAAAACTATTTTCCAGCATATTTGTCACCAAATGAAATAATTCAAATTTTCCAGTATGTTGCTACTACCTTTCTGGCTGCAACCATTAAGAAAACTAACAACTTTTAGTGTGTGTTTCAAGGTGACATTTGAAATATTAAAAAAAAACCCTTAATAAGGCCAATTTAGGATTTAATATGTGTGGTGATCTATCCTATTTGGCTAAGTTTTGGACAACTTTAAAAGATCCCTACATGTGATAATATTGCTTTAAACTTTCTCCAAACATGGGACTTTTACCAGAATTTATTATATTAAATTTTCTTGTTGTTAAGTAACATCTATAAAATTCTTTCCTTATAGTTTCTTCAATTTTGGCTGAAAGCAATTTCAATAGTTTTCTATGTCATTTGGTTCGCCATAAAGTCAAAGATAAATGGGGCCTTTATATTTGCAGACGACACCAAGCTGGCAGGAATAGCCAACACTCCAGAAGACAGGCTTAAGATACAGGAGGATCTGGACAGACTTGAACACTGGGCGCTATCTAACAAAATGAAATTCAATAGTGAAAAAAGTAAGGTTCTACATTTAGGCAAGAAAAACCAAATGCACAGGTACAGTATAGGTGGTACCTTGCTCAATAGTAGTAACTGTGAGAGGGATCTCGGAGTCCTAGTGAACAATCACTTAAATATGAGCCAGCAGTGTGCTGCAGCTGCCAAAAAAGCCAACACAGTGCTAGGCTGCATTAACAGAGGGGTAGAATCAAGATCACGTGAAGTATTAATACCACTTTACAATGCCTTAGTAAGGCCACACTTGGAATACTGCATCCAGTTTTGGTCATCACAATGTAAAAAAGATGTTGAGACTCTAGAAAGAATACAGAGAAGAGCAACAAAGATGATTAGGGGACTGGAGGCTAAAACATAAAGAACGGTTGCTGAAAGTATGTCTAGTTTAACAAAGAGAAGGACGAAGAGGGACATGATAGCAATGTTCCAATATCTCAGGGGTTGCCACAAAGAAGAGGGAGTCAGGCTATTCTCCAAAGCACCTGAAGGCAGGACAAGAAGCAATGGGTGGAAATTAATCAAAGAGAGAAGCAACCTAGAAGTAAGGAGAAATTTCCTGACAGTTAGAACAATTAATCAGTGGAACAACCTGCCTCCAGAAGTTGTGACTGCTCCAACACTGGACGTTTTTAAGAAGAAATTGGACAACCATTTCTGAAATGGTATAGGGTTTCTTACCTGAGCAGGAGGTTGGACTAGAAGATCTCCAAGGTCCCTTCCAACACTATTATTATTATTATTATTATTATTATTATTATTATTATTATTATTATTATTATTATTATTATTATTATTATTATTGTTGTTGTTGTTGTTGTTGTTGTTGTTGTTGTTGTTGTTATTGTTGTTTAATATTGGAATTCCAAGGCTACTTTCATTGACATATTTATAGAGAATATTTGAATATTTGTTTTTTTTGCCCAGCACATACGTTTATTAACCATTTTCTGCCATTTTTTCCAGCAATACATATGTATGCATCAAGGAGGAAGGTGTTTAAGAAAGAAGAATTAAAGAAGTAATGACATTTTTACTGCTCCTATTTAACCAAGCATTATAATTTTAATTTTGACCACTCTTTCAAGTAATGATTTCAAGTTTAAACTTGAAGTCCATATTTTTAGGAATGTGGATTCCTAAATATATAAAAGAACATTTGCTGTATTTAATTCCTAAATTATATAATTTTTTTGCACTGTCATGTATTTGTATAAATACATTCTTAGAAAAATAAAGTTGCTAATTTGCAAAAATGGCAAAATATTCTGGAAAATATCTTAATTGATTTGAAACAATCAATGTAAATCAGTGCAGTAACATACAGATAAATGAATATATGAATATATAAGAATAATTTATTATCTATCAAGAGGGATACAGAATTCCTCATCCCATCAACAATAACAAATGTGAAATGGGGTAGGGAAAATCACTTCAGAGTCCTTATGTGGAAAATTATGGATTTTTGTTCTTTTGTGCTTTATAGCTAGTGAAATTAGAGCCAAGACCAGGAGACAAGAGAAGAAATGGTGGGTGGAAAAAAGGCAACAGTTATTTAAGCAGTTGTGTTCAGAGATACTTGTGCTGGCCTTGTCATGGACCCATCTAGGTCAGACTGGGTTTTATTGACATTCAGAAGCAATTCAGAATGACCAATCCCAAACTGACAGACTCATTATCCACTTTCTGCCTGCTGTTTGCTGTGTTTACTTCTAACAGCTATGGAGAAGTTAGAGTTTGTGGATTATATTTTTTATATCCTATTTTAAAGAATACCCTGATAAATAGCGCAAGGGCTATCAATCTCTCTATATCTGACCAGGACTTTGACATATTTTTCCAGGTTGCCCAATTCTGTATTCTTAAGGTAAAAAAATAAGGGAACAATGCACTTGTTTTAGCTTCTCACTGTTCCCTACTTGAAACACTCTTAAGGGCGTTTTTTTCATTAGAACCAAATGAGAACATTTCAATGGAATGTAAGGCTTTTTGTCCAAACCTCGAAACAAACTGCTTTTTTTCCCATTAAATGCACACCCTAGCAAGCAGGAAAAATAATGCATCAAGATTAAGACAGTCTTCCTTTCCACCAAATTTCATTAAAACCACTGTCACACTGTGTTCTTATTTAGAGTCAAGTGGTAAAAAGCAGGTAGTATACCACCTTAAATCAAGAGAAGAGTCAGCTTAAAAGCAAACCTAAGATGATACAGAATCTTGAAGTTAATAGCAGTTCTGATTGACAACCTGGAGAGTCATTGTACAATGAGATTTCCTCAAGTAGGGAACAATGAAGAGCTCAAAATCTAGTCATAAAGTTCAGGCAGGAGTTGATTTACAACATGGCAAGCTTGAAAGTTAAAATTAATGGCCTTACTTTTCTGTATTCAGCAATAGGCACATAGGAAAATGTATTGGCAATAATTCTTTAAAGATGTCTACAAGGCTCAATCTATGCTCATTTAAGGAACGCCTGTTAAACATTCAAAAAAGTTTACAAGTTCATTAAAAAGCTTGATCCCCCTCATTGAGTCTACACTGAAAGACTGCTACAGCTCTTTCATTCTGCAATTGCCAGCAACTTTTTACTTTTTTCTCCAATGATCAAGATAATTATTAAAGCCTGAAAATCCAATGTTGTTGCATAAATTTCAATGTGTTCTTTTAACAGCTCCCTGAGGAAGTGTCAAATAACAAGTGCCAGACAAGCACATTTGAAAAGAAAACTCACCTGTTGGCAAAGGTATATAAATTCTTTTTTCCAATCTCCTTCTCAAAGCTTCATCAATATCCCAGGGAAAATTTGTAGCAGCAAGCACCATCACCATTCTTGAAGGATCATCATTCTCCAGAGCTCCACCTACACCTAAAGGAGCAACAATAGAGCTAGAGTACATGGTGCTTTTCTATGGTTGTTCACATTAATTTGAGGTTTTACATGCACTATACTGTGCTCTGAATCTTGGAAGCAAAAAGATGTCACATCTTAGTTTTAGAAACATCATATAATGTAGGGGGAAAAATGAATGAAAGACCCTATATATTTAGAAAAGGCTGATTTTACACCTGCCTGCCCACCCGCTCAGACTTTGTAGAACCTGCCTCGGTACCTGCTCACCTGCCCCATAGTTCTCACCCAAAGCTCTCACCTACTGACCTGCTGAGACTCCCTCCTCTTCCTGTGTCAGTTCCTGCTTAATGTTAGCATGGTCTTGGGATTACGATGGCCTTATGACTGCATGGCTTAGCAACAGAAATTCCAGTGCCAATTGCCATCATAACCCAATGACTACCTGCATGTTAAACTTTAAAAAAAATATGCCACAAAAAAAGACAACATTTGCAATAGTGGCAAATATCTGCAGCTCGGGTGTAGGATGAGGGTGAAGGTTCGTTCTCTGAGCTTGAGGGTTGGTTTCCAAACGTTTCGTTACTAGGCCAGGTAACATCTTCAGTGGTGTTTAGTGGATGTCTGTCAGTGTTCTACTTATATAAGGGCTTCAGGTGTGGGAGTGTCAAGTGAGGGTCTTGTGATGGGCCAGGTGTGAGTCATCAGAGAGAGGCTTATGATGGGGAGGTACTTCATGTCAGGGTTGTTGGGAGGGTGTGAATTAGTGGGTCAGGAGTGAGTCATCAATAGGAGGCTGGTAATGGGTCTTGTGATGGGGAGATTATATTAGATCAGGGTCATTGGAAGATGAACTGTGGGGGGGGGGGAGGAAAGAGGGGCTTGAGGGTTGGTGCTGTCTCCAGATGGCTCTTCGATTGATTTGGATTCTGAGGGGTTCATATGCTGGTCGTAGATCAATATGTCTGTTGATGGAATTGCTTGTAAAAAGCCAGGCTTCGATGAATGACAACATTTGCAGCCCCATTTCTTCAGGGAACTCCAAATTCCTACAGTTCTCAGAATCCCCAAAGGTCAGTTTTTTAAAAGTGGTCTCTGGATGCACAAGTCGCCTGAACCAAGTTTAAAGGATGACCCTATGGAACTTTTCCTTTAAGGTCCTTCCCTCCTTCACTGGGTCTATTCTACAACAATGTATAAAACAAGAAAAAGACTCCCCCAATGCAGGCAGAACAAACCCTATTTACCATCCATCTGAACCAGCAGCTCTGACTTGACTCGGCGGCTTGCCTCGTGTTCATCCACAGTGCCTCTGCGACTACAGATAGAGTCTATTTCATCAATGAAAATGGTCGTAGGAGCATAAAACTTGGCCTTAAAACAAAGACAAATATTTCTTATGTGACATAGGGATTCATAAGGTTTTTTTTAAAAATCATATACAATACCCTCAGCATTACAGTCATGTTTAACAAAGATAGATACCAATAAATTTTCTTAAAGACTCTATATGTTTCTTGCCAAATCAAGACAGTTGTGAATTTAAGGAATGTCCTACAGATGCACAAAAACAAATAGTATATCAAGCTAAGACATAGATATGCAGGAAATTGTTGAGGTTGTCCATTTAAACCACCAACCCCAAACCAATTCAATATGGACATTTATAGTATAATACACTCATTGTAATGTACATTGACTGCCCTGAAATCATTTTACAAAGAAAAGGAGCCAAGAACAAATTATGCAAATAAGAGTAACATCTGAGAGAATCAACAATACCTACCATTTCAAATAGCAAACGAACTAATTTTTCAGACTCGCCTCGATATTTTGATGTGAGAGTGGAGGAAGACACATTGAAAAATGTAGTTCCACATTCTGTAGCGACAGCTTTTGCTAGCATGGTTTTACCAGTCCCAGGAGGGCCAACCATAAGCACTCCCTGAAATTAAAATCCAAACAACTGAAGAGACCACAAGCCTGATGCGGGCATATAACAACATAATACAATTAAATTAATCTATGCATAACTTAGATTGTGGATCCTCAGACCTAGGTTTTCTCAAACAATGATGTGATGAGGCTTGATTATCTACAAATTCTGTATATCCTGGATCTCTTGGCAACTTTCAATACCATCAGCCATGGTACCTTCTGGACCGGCTGCAGGGACTGGAAGTAAGAGGCAGTTTTGCAGTGATTCTCCTCCTTCCTATGTAGCCAGTTGGTATTAGTGGGAAGGGAAAGGTCCAGCCCTAATCCCCTTTAATGTTGAGCACCTCTACTCAAAACTGATCGGTGGAGCCATCCAACGGCATAGAGGTCAACATTCAACAGCAAATTATATCCAGTAATGATACCCAGCTGATGTCATCACAGTGCTTACCCAGTGCCTAGAGGCTGTGAGGGTCTGGAGGGTGAGCTTCTTTTTGGGTGCAATACAAGCCCTTTATGACACAAGGCCAGGTTATTTGTGGAACTGCCTCTTTTTGAGGATATATGCCTGCCTCACTAGATTGGATAAAGTGGGCATACTCCAGGTCCTTTCCCTTACCGTATTTTTCGCACCATAAGACGCACCGGACCATAAGACGCACATAGTTTTTAGACAAGGAAAACAAGAAAAAAAATATTCTAAAGCAAATGGTGTAGTAAAATATTTAATATTTCAACCATGTTAAGTGAACAGCAATCAACGTGACATTAAGAATCATTATGACTGTCATTAACAAATGGAGAGACTTTAAG